ATCTGATTCCATTTTAATCAATATCCATTTAAATTACTGTACATTGCCCGCAGCTGTACTGGGCAGTACAATTCTTAGCCTCTGTGAAAACTTCCAGTTCTAGGACGTGCCACCTCTGTGTCCTCAGGGCCTTTGCACATGCTGTGCCCCTGGCCTGGAATGACATGACCTCCTCCTGACCAGTTCACACTCACCCTCAGGCCTTAGCTAGAGGTCACTTCTGAGAAAGCTTTGGCTGCCCACCCAGTATGACTCCAGCCCCTGTGCTTCTTTCTCCTAACCTAGCTCATCCTACTAAATGGTTGAAAGCTCGCTCACACACCTACATCCTGCACCTTTCACTCATTCTCTCACCATTCTATGTGCATCTGTTGATCACTGACTGTAAGCCAGGCCCTGTTTCCTGGGGCTACCCTGGTGGACAAGGCAAGCATTGCAAGAAAGCAGTATGTTGAGGATGCTAGGGAGTGCCTCAAACGAACTTCTTAAGTCTAGAGGCCAGGGCAGCTGCGGCTTCTCTGGAGAGCGCTAGGTCTGGTCATGTCAGTATTCCCAGTGTCTGGCTCGAGGCCAGGTCCAGGAGCTCCGTGAGTGTCTGCAGAAAGGCTGCATGAATCAGTGCCACGTGCTTGGACTCCTGACGGGCATGCATGAAGGGTTCATTTCCAAGAAGCAGGTTGAAATCTGTGGCAAAGAGCCTGCACTGTTTGACGTGTCCAGTCAGAGACACCCCCACCCAACTCCATTCCATCTGGCTAACCCGCCCCAATTCTTCTTAGCATTCCTTTCAGAAACTTTGCATCCAGTACAATTGAGATCTGGAAGGGGCCCCAGAGACCTCTTCATACAATGGGTAAACTGAAGCCCAGGGACAGGAAGGAACTTGCTGGCGTCCCACAGTAAGTGTGGCAGTGCCAGGTCTGTGGGCTTTTTGGGTAGACCAGTGTTTCAAACCTCAGCCAGCCCCCGTTCTGCAAACTTGGCCAAGCCTATGCATCATCTGCACCACTATTCACTTAAAATATATATTTTTCAATATTAAAAACTTAAACACTACATCAAAAACACGAGCAACAAAAAGATAAGCTTGACATTCTCAAAAATTAAAAACTTTTGTGCTTCAAAGGACACTGTTTAAAAAATGAAAGACAACCAAAGAATGGGAGAAAATTTTTGCAAATCGTATATCTGATAAGGGTCTTGTATCTAGAATATACAAAGAACTGTTACAACTCAATAACAAAAAGAGAAACAACCCAATTAAAAGACAGACAAAGGACTTGAATATCCAAAGACTATGTACAAATAGCCAATAAGCACATGAAAAGATGCTCAACATCGTTAGCCACCAGGGAAATGCAAATCAAAACCACAATGAAATACTATTTCACACCCCCTGTCGTTATTGTTGTTGGGTGCTGCCTAGTGGATCAACTCATAGTGACCCCACGTGACAGAGTACAACGCACCCACAGGGTTTTCTAGGCTGTAATCTTTATGGGAGCAGATAGTCAAGTCTTTCTAGGATGGCTGTAATAAAAAAAAAAAGACAATAGCAAAGATGTGGGAAACTGGAACCTTCATACACTGCTGGTGGGAATGTAAAACGCTGTAGCCACTGTGGAAAACAGGCCGGCAATTTCTCAAATGATTAAAAACGGAGTTTCCATATGACCCAGCAATTCTACTCCTAGGTATCCACCCAAGAGAAATGAAAACCTACGCTCAAATAAAAACGTGTACATGAAAGTTCATAGTAGCTTTGTTCACAACAGTTAAAAGGTGGAAACAACCCAACTGTCCATCAGCAGATGAAATGATAAACAAAATGTGGTCCATCTATGCAATGGAATACTACTCAGCCATCAAGAGAAATGAAGTCCTGATACAGGCTATGACATGGATGGACCTTGAAAACATTCTGCTGAGTGACAGAAGCCAGACACAAAAGACCACATAGTGTATGATCCCACATACATGAAATTCCAGAGTAGGCAAATCCATAGAGACAGAAAGTAGATGAGTGGTTGCCAGGGGCTGGGGATAGGTGGGAGGATTGGGGGGTGACAGCTAAGGGGTGCAGGGCTTCTTTCTCGGGTGATGAAAATGTTCTAAAATTTACTGTGGCAATGGTTATACATATCTGCGAATACACTAAAAATCACTGAATTGTACACTGTGAATGAATGACTTGTATGGTAGGTGAATTATATCTCGACGAAGCTGTTAAAAAAAAACAAAACTTAAATACTGTAATCTAACCATAAAGCAAGACTAGTCAAGAACTCTAGGGCTTAATGTGCTGGTTCCATGTTTTTCAATGTCTATTAAAAATACACCACCATTAACATTTTGAACCATCACACACACACGTGCTTATGATCCGCAGGAACAGCTCTGGCCCTAGCCTGCCTCATTGCTGCATCCCTCTCCTAGACCTTGTATCCATCTATGTCCTCAAGAGCTCGGAAGGGAAAACACTCTGTCCATCTAATTAATTGATAACATTCTACTGACCACTTACAATGCTATTACAAGCTCACAGATAAAAGTCCTCTCTTAAAGAAAACTATTAATCATGGGCTTTAATTTTTTAATGTAGTGGTCACAGACCACAGCCATGTGAGTGACCCCCTCCTGGGGCCCTGGGGACCAGCCCTGCATGGTCACCCAGAGGCGAGGGGGATGCTGGCCACAGGACCACAATCAATGAGACTCAATGGCTTTGAGATCCTTTCTTCCGCAGATTGTCAGGCCTTTCTCCCATGGCACCACTGGGTGGGTTTGAACTGCCAACCTTTCAGTTATGAGCACAACCATTTGTGGTACCCACCGACCTTTCATAATAATGATAGGCCTTAAAGTAGCCACTTCTACCGAAGTTCAAGTTTCTGGGAGGCTGAGATCTACTCGGGAAATGACCTGAGGGGCAGAGAGCACCAAGACCCAGGGACGCAGGAGGTGTTCCCCCAAGTGTTATGGGGTGAACTGTGCCCCCCTAAAAGAAATATGGAAGTCCTGACCTCTTACTTATTTGGAAATAGGTGTTTTTCTTTTGTTAGGTTAATGAGGGCATGCTGGAGTAGGGTGGGTCCTAAACCTAATCCCTTCTGAGTTATAAAAATAGTAGAATAGACACAGACACACATACAGGAGGAAGACAGACGCCATGTGAGGATCCATCTACAAGCCAAGAAATGCCCAGGGCCACCAGAAGCTGAAAGAGACAAGGAAGGATCTTCCCCTAGAGCCTGCACGGTCCTGCTGACACCCTGAATTCAGACTCAGCTTCCAGAACTTTGAGATAGTACATTTCTGTTCTTCAAAGCCCCAGGACACTAAGACAGGGAGGAGCCCACACTCGCCCACCCCGCTGCACGCAGCATGTAACCTCTGTTGCCTGCCTTCTAAAATTGCCCCTCATGAGGTCAAGGGTTTCGTGAACATCCGGCTGTGCACTTTTTGAGCCTCCAGACCCACCACAGAAACAAGGGAAGGAAATGAGTGTGATTTCACGAACTCCAGACACAGGCTTGGGATGGCTTCACTATAGGTCTTTGACCATCGCAGCCTCAGGACGAGGCACTCAGCATCTCACCTTCAGCCCTCACCTCGGCCAGGAGATCTGCTGTGCCCTTTCCTACTTCCCTTTCATCTCTGTCAACAGCTTTTCCTCAGAGCAGTGGGAGTGGGTAGCGTCCCCAGCCCTGGGCTCCTGGCAGCCCTGGATCAGAAGCAGGTCAGGCAGACCCTCAGGGGAAGCCCCAGGCAGGGCCCCTGTCTCTCTGTGGAGTCTACCCAGGACACTATCCAGAGGAACGGGGGCAAGAGGCTAGGGCTGAGCACTGACTACGGAAAGATGCCTTCAACCACACGTTGCAAATTAACAGCTATATTTTGTTTCACCTGCAAAGTATTTTAATGCTTCTAAATTAGTTGCCACCATTTCAAATTTGGAGATTGAACAGAAAAATAAAAAAATCTGTCTTTCTAGTTTATCTTGAAAATTGGAAATCAGGCCTGCATTCCCCAGTGGTCATAACTTGATGAGCCACGAGATGGGGTCTATGCTCTGCAGTTTGCCACAGTCCCCACCCAGACCAGGAGCCTCACTCACAGGACTGGAATGGCCTCGTGGGTCTTTGGGTGGGCAATCCATCCTCTAAACACAATGAAATCTCTCTTGCCAGTGCAGAAATGGCCTTGTTTGACACTAACAACAGATGGTGGAACAACCTTAGACCACTGGGGATATCCAAGCCCATGATCTTTAGAGTTAATAGTCACAATCCACGAATATACACCCTGTATTTCCTGTCATGGTCTGGCTTTCAAATATTCCTACCCGGTCATGCCCACAAATTTTCATGTGCTGTCATATGCCTCGAAATTTATTTTGGTAACACAGTTTCTATTTCAGTAACACTGTAACATGTAGGCCAAACAATGGCTGGGAGTCAAATCCCTCCACCACTTAATTTTATAAATAAAGTTTTCTTGAGACACAGCCACGCTCATTCACTTATGTACTGTCTGTGACTACTTTTGGGCTAAGATGGCGGAGTTTAAGAGTTGAGACAGAGACCAAATGGAGTCTGAAGAGCCTAAAATATCTACTGCCGGACCTTCACAGAGTTAGTTTGCCAACTCTGAGGTAGAATGATGGATGATGGAAATGCACCTCCTTTATAGACGCATTCTTTGCGTCCACTTCCTGGGTTCCTTGTTTAAAATATGAATGTTCTCGTTGGGGTAAGAATGATGAACCAGTGGATTTTCAGTCATAGGAAGAGGTGAGGTTAGGGAGAAGGGAGGTTGGGGGAAAGGAGGGGGGGGCAGCACACAGCCACCAGCTGGGTCACTATCATGAGAAACAGCCAAGCGCTCCATCACGGTGTGTACCCCAAAACTCTTCCCTACCCACACACAGTTAGTGCGGTCCCTCCTGTTCCAGCACCCTCTCTGCCCTCCCACCCTGCCCGGCAAACGCCTGCACTTACTTCATGGGCTTGAACAGCGCCTGCCCGTAATTCTGGAACGTCATTATGAGCTTGAGCTGCGTGCCCCCCGACTTCATAGCTGCAAGAGGGAGGGAAAGAGAAACCGAGTCACTCACTGCCTCCAGGGGAATGAGGGCCAGCCCAAAGAGGACCAGCTAGGTCCCCCAGACATGGCTGAGGAGCTCCATCTGCCTGGGAGGTTTAAGTTCGCTGCCACTGTGCTCCTTCCCCATTGACACGTGCCCCTCCTGCCACTCTCAAAGGCTCTGAACCTGACAGAGGGACTGGATTCTAGAGGGATGGCCAGAGTGCTCACCAACAGCACCTCTCTCCCCTCTGCACATACTCATATACACCTTCACACATGCACACACGCATACACTTGCACACATGCACAGGCACACACACGAACACATGCGCACCACACGCAAACACAGGCACACATATGCTCCTGTGCACACGCATGCGCATGCATGCATACCACACCCGTGCACACCACAATACACACATACACACGTGCGCACACACACAGACACACAGACATGCACACCCCCTACTGCTGTCCTAGAAGAAAGAGTCCTCCCAGTCTAAGTCTCTGGGTTCTGGAGGAAGCCCAGCAGGGTTTGTTTGAGGAGACTCTAGGACCTCTTGGGTTGGAGGTGCTCCCCTCATCAGAAGCAGCTCTGGGGCCCACAGGTCATGGTCGGGGAGCTCAGAAGCCTCCAGAAGCCTTGCTCTGTGGCTTCCTGGCTGCCTCGCCAGTTCAGGAGGCTAAAGAATTGGCACCCATCCTCAGCTGTGGGTTTTCTTTCTGTTGATAGGGCAGAAAGGAGACAACTGGGGGGTTCTCAAATCTGGGGACAGAGCTGGTCTCAGCCATGGCAGCCAGTGAGCAAGATCTGAGTGAAGGACGACCCCACCCCACCATTGCTGCATGGGGACCCCACCATTTCTGTATGGGGCTCCTGACCAACTCTGTGTGGGGTCCCCTCACCATCTCCATGTAGGGACTCCTGACCATCGCTGTGTGGGGACCCTGACCATCACTACGTGGGGTCCCCACTGCCTAGAGACATTGGCGGGGACACTGCATATCCCAGGGCTCATTGGCCATGGCAAGTCCACGTGGGGGCTTGTCCAGCACTGTCAAGGCCTCATGTGTGGCAGCCAGGCACTGAACGATGCGCTAACAGAAGTGAACAAGGCGAGGGGCCCCCAAGTTTGCATTTGATGGGATGGGGTGGACTGTTCATTAATAAACCCCAGCATAACTTCAGATTTTGAGGGTTAGAGGGTGAAGGAGGCAGACAGGGTCTAGGGTGGGGGTCCTGCCCAAGAGGAAAGCCATAGTCCTGGGGGGCAGAGACCTCAAGATGAGCCGTGTTGAGGTCTGTTTCCTCTTTCCATGGGTTTCTTTAAGCGAAGGGAGTGAGGAATTGGGCAACAGCTGGGCAGCGTGCGTGTCAGGCATGTGGGATGCTGCATGTGTTGATGAGAATGTGGGAGAGAGGAGATGAAGGTAGAGGAGAGAAAGTAGGGTCCGGCAGGTGGAGATGCAGAGCGCAGGGAGGGTGGGCAGTGGGCAGGCAGGGAGCAGGAGTGGGGAGAAAGACAGTGGGGATCCCTGTGCCCAAGGAAAAACTGTCACAAAGTACTGGAGACAGTAACCAGAGGTACCAGGTGAGAGTATCTTCTGGATTCTGGAAGCCAGGGGTCATTTGCTGATGCACAGCAGGGCATGGGGTGGATGGCTGGGGGAAGCGGTTTGGGTGCTGGAACTAAGGAGGCCTGGGTGTTCCAGGGGGAGGCTGAGCCTAGCTCAGGTTCTGGATGCAGACTCGACCTGCTTGAAGAAGGCCAACAGTCCTCGGGAATGCCAGCCCCGAAGGCACTGTGGGCGCCATATTGGGAACTGCACCTTGGTGTGGGGCTTCCTGAACTGGGCCCCCCTGCAGGGGTCTTCATTCATCTCTGGCCTCAATTTCTCCTTCTGCTAAAGAGCTCAGGGTACCTGCTCTGCCTCCTTCATGGGGTTGTGGTGAGGATCAAAGTCAGAGTGTATATAAAGCTATGAAATTGGACAACTTCACAAGAGAGTAGGTGTAGACATGAGCCTGGGCGCTGGGTGCAGACATGAACCTGGGAAGTCAAGCACTAAGAGGTCACGGAATTAGGAGGAACGAGCACAAGTCTGAGGAGGAGCCACTACGGAAGAAGGAAGAGAAACGAGACCATGGTGTCCTCGAAGCCAAGTGAACAGGATTTTGTGGAGAAGTGTCTTGTTGAAATCAAAGCAATATAAGTGCCAGTGGCAACACTAGGGGGGTGCAGGGGGTACGGACCACACTAGGTGAGATCAAAATGACTGTCTATAAAATTTTTGTGCAGTGTTCCAGCAGAAGTTTAGTATTTTTTATAAAAATATCCCCGTGGTTATAACAACAAAAACAATTTTTCGTAAGCCCAGCTTACAAAAAATGTATCTAGGTATCAATATACCTACAAGGCTAAAACTCTATGCTAATTTACTTTTTGAACATTCTAATGCCCTCCGGTCAGAGCTGTCATTATTATCCAGTTAGTGACACTTCACATCACATGGGTTCATATGCACACTACAAGCGCGTGCTATTGTTTTCCTTGCTGCTGGTGTTTTTATAGTCACCGATTTTGTCAAATTTTCTGGTGTTTTAGCTACAATATTGTGGTAATTAGTATTTGTGAGCCTATATCAATAACTTTTTTGACAGTGAAGTAGTAATTAAAAGAAAAGAAAGGCTGATACATGGGAATTACGATTTATGAGTAACACTAGTACAAAAACATTACTAAGGATTCCGTATGGTCTAGTACAGAAGGAGGTCCGTGGAGGGGAGTGACGCCATGAGTTACCACACTGGGTGACGTCAACCCTAGTGAGGCCACTGGTAAGTTTCAGCTTATTAATTATACCTCCATTTTTTTTTTTTTTTTACAAAGAATCCTTAAAATTTCATTAAGCTTCACAGCCATGTTGTAAAATATTATTTAGACATAATAATTTTTTTTTTTTTTAAATCAAACTAGGGTAAGGTATTCTTTGACTTGTCAGTGCCTCCGCTGCTCACCTGTAAGGAGGAAAAGACAATCACACCTCTGTTCTCGGGCCACCATGAGGACAGGGGGAACGGCAACACTTGTGAGGAAGCAGTGGTGGTTCGGTGATAGAACTCCCCCCTTCCATGCGAGAGACAGGGATTTGATGCCCAGCCACTGCACCTCGTACGCGCACAGCCACGACCTGTCTGTCGTGAAGACTGTGTGTTGCTAAGATGCTGAACAGGTTTCAGTGGAATTTCCAGACTAACACAGACTAGGAAGAAAGGCCCGGCGATCTACTTTCAAAAACCAGCCAATGAAAACCCAATGGCTCACAACAGTCCAGTCCATTACTGATCATGGGGATGGTACAGGACTGGGCAGCATTTTGTCCCGTTGTACATGCGGTCACCATGAGTTGGGGCCAACTCAACAGCAACTAAAAACAACAGTTGCCCACAGAGGGGAACTCTGCAGACACCCCAGCCTGGACAACTGAACTTTTAAGGCCATAGCACACTGCTTTTGATTTTACTATTAACCAAGCCCAAACTGCCCCATAGGTTTCCAAGGAGCGGCTGGTGGATTCAAACTTTAATAACAACTTAAAAACATTTCTCCTCCACGAGCCTCTTCTTTTTGAGAACCTGTGTATATCTCTGTGCACAGGAGTCTGATGCTGGGACAGCCCCAACCCTCGGGGCGCTCTCTCAAGAGCAGAATTGTTGGTGGCTTTAATTTTCTATTTTCTCCTTATCTGCACTTCCTGAAATTCTACAATGCACATTTATCACGTTTTTAATAAGGTGAAAATAGAAGTAATTGTCAAAAATTGTTGGCCCAGTGAAGGCTCATTGAATGTTCCCATTTGCATGTAATAACCAGGGTCCCTGGATTAATTATTTCTTCCTAGGCCTTCCAGAGTTTGTAATCCTCTTTGTTTGTTTGTTTTTTTTAATAACAAAATAATATGCAAATCTGGTCAGTCTAACATTCTTGTTCTGGAAGCAACTCCCATGTACATTGCTGTCGCCCGACCCCGTGTCCACTCTGTTACCAACTCTCCCCACAGAGCAAATACATAATTAGAATTAAAGGGCATTAAAACCTCACAGTGACTAAGAATATCAGGAACGCCCAGCTCTTGCCTACTGTGCTGGGCACCAGCTATCATCTTGATGGGGGACCCCACCTTCCCAGCCCAGTTCCACCATCAATCTACCATGTCGAGAGGCAATAGCTATTGAGAGTCCTCCCTAGGATTAGATACGGCCTCACTGCCAAAACCCAAACAAGAACTGCCAAAGGCTCAAGGTGACCGTCTGGGGTGGGCGAGACATGGGGACCCCCACTGAGCACATGGCCAGTGGGTTAGCCACCCTACTCTGCTGCAGCTGCAGAAATGGGCTTAGAGAGGCAGTCCAGGTCCAGGCCACAGGGGACAGAGCCAAGGCGCAAACCGGGTCTTGAGAAGCTGCGCGGAAGTTTGGGGGTTCTTTTGGAGTGAGACTGAGGTCCTGGCCCATTGCTGGGGGAGTGGTGGTTGCGAGGCAGAAGCAAACACAGAGAAGGGGCCCAGGGTAAAGAGCTGGCATGGACACCCACACTGGGGGGACTCCCGTGTCCCCGGTGGACAGGGGCCAGGTCAGAACCAGACCAGACACAGTTGTGGAGCGGGGGCAACTGAGAGGTCAGGCAAGGACAGGGGGTGTCCAGGCACACAACTGCAGCCAGCTCCCCAGATGTCACTCCATAGCACACATGAGTTTCAGGTGGCTCCTCTACTAAACCTCCCCATCTCCCCACGTCTGTCAACCTTCAAGGCTGCCCCCTGGTCTCAACCCCTTCCATCCACTCCTGCTGCATTCCTGACTGGTCCCCACACTCACTCTCCATCCTCTCCTACCCAATGCCACACCTGCACGCACACCTGAAGACGTCACTGCCTCTGTGCATGCTCTTCCCGTTCCAGAACATTCTCCTCTTCTGCCCACCTCCCGC